ACGTATAGTGCCAACAAGCGTGGTTTTTTTTGAAAGCAATTTGGATGCTAGCGGTAAGCTTGTAAAAAAATTATCGGTTGTTATACATCTTCCTTTCATAGTATTTGGTTCGATAAGTTTTAGTACGACGTATTCACTAAGAGATTGCGATTTTGCTCGTGTTTCATCTTTCCCTAAATAAGGAAACCCATTTAGAATATATTTTGTTTTTACATCAGATGCCAGCCAAAATTTTATTCCAAATTTGTCAGGTTTAGACGGCAAATATTGCGTAAATCAGCATCTGGATTTTGTTGCAAAGAGTTGTTCGTCAACTGTGATATTTTCTCCTGGCTTGTAGCAATTTTGACTATTTTGAATGAACCTATCCCATACTGTTGATATCAAAGCAAATTTGTCATTTTTCAAACGTTGGCTTCTTTCACTTTTTTTATCAAARCGAATAAATTTCAAAATTTCACTGAAATTATTCGACTTATAGTCTTGGAAAAGAAGTTCGGTCCCCATTCTTTGTCCCATAAATATGACAGATTCAAATTATTTGCTTTGTATGCTCCCCGAGCATATAAAATTGCAATAAAAGCTTTATTTTTTGTTTCACTTAAAGTCCATTTTTTACCCAAAACTCGAAAAGCTTCTAATTTCGTTCAAAATATTATATAATCAAGAATATTCCTGTCAATCAGTAATAAAAATGCGCTATTTACTTCACCTTTGATAATATTTCTTTTAGCATATCATGTGGGGCCGGATATATCTTTGAAAATATTATGAAGTGGTAATCTTCCAGTTGTAGATCCTTCTTGTATTTTTTCCCAATTGGTTCCGTCTGCAGCAATTTCATTTTTTTTATTTATATTTTCTTTTTCCTCTTCAAAACTGGAAACTATACGAGCACGTCTTTTTTTCCKTAAATTCAAAATATTTTCTAATTCACTGTCCGAGGACTCTCGAACTTCTTCATGATCTTTAAACTCATCAAACTTATCATTATTACCACTATAAACTGTTTCAATATCTTCTTGGTCACTTTCTTCATCCTCGATATCAGAAGCTTCCATTGAAATATTGTTTATTTTTCGCAGCAAATCAGAGGTTTTTATACGTTTTGCCATTTTTTATGGATTACAAAAAATCGCTATATAACTAAAAAATAGATGCTATTCCCACGACTATGGAATAAAGAATGATCGCGTAAAACTACATCGATTCTATTATTTCGATACACTACGGCAACGAGTATATCACAATGTATTATCGCCATATAAGCAGTAACATGAGAAAATATATTACAACAAAGAATAATACACTCGTCTAAATATCTAATCGACGGTGTTAATTTCAAAAAACAGATATTTTCAGATTTATGTCGAATTTAAGAAGTACCAGTCAAAATGACTGGTATTGGTAGAAGTAGCAAATGCCAAAATTTATTCGAATTCTGTTTAAGTTATAAAAAAAAAAAATTATTTTTACAAACCATTTCTTATATCTAGAAAAGTCATCATATAATTTTGAAAAAAAAATGTAACGTGAGGTGGGAATTAAATAATGAATTTGCGCGACCAGTCATTTTGACTGGTCTGGTAGTTCTAGTGTTAATTGAGTTGGACGTTTCGTCCCTTTATTAGGACTTTTTCAGCAACTGGAAAATTTATTTTCTTATTTCTCATTACGATACATGCGTTTTATACAATATAATTTTTTACGTTACCCTAATCATTAAAGCTCAGCGTCTTTTTTATTTAATTTCGACATACATTTTTTTTTATAATATTCTAAAACACAATAAATCTAAACTTCGTTAGTTTGATCGTTATTATTTAAAAGCCTCAACAAAACTGTTTCAATCTAGACTAGTGTTGTTAGCCTAGATAACATCAGTGTAAGGTGTCCTTTATTATTTATTATGTTTAAAATTTAAATATTCTGTTGTAGATGTGGTTTAGGTTGTTTGTGTCTGTTTCATAGTTTACTGCATTATTATTACATATGTGATATGTTTCGCTAATAATTCTTTTGTACCAGTTTTCCTCTAAATCTAGGATAGTTGCTGCGTCAAATTTAAAAATGTGTCCTGTTTTAAAATGGAGTTCAGCTAACGCTGTAGTATTGGTTTTGTTCATATTTTCAGGTTTACAATCATTTTTGTGTTAGTCTAATCTTTTTTTTAATTTCTGTTTTTTTTGACCTCTTCTCACATTCACATGGTATTGTGTACACTAAGTGCAACTTATCAAATTTATCCACTTTATCTTTTAATTTAGTGTTAATAGAGTTTATTTTTGTCAGATTCTAAAAATCCAGTTTAATATTAGTGTTTTTAAAACATTTATTTATCTTGTTTGCTAACAGCTTAATATACGGGAACTTAATGTACTTTTTATCTTGCAAAATCGGTTTTTTTACACGATCTTTATCAATTTTGAATTCATTAAATACCATGTTAATAAGACTCTTAGGATAGTTATTTTTCTTTAAAACGGTCTCTATTTTTTCCTTACTTTCTATATGAAACTTCTTATTGCTTAATGTTGAAGCTCTAAATCATGAACCTTTCATAGTTATAATCTTTTGACTTAAAGGATGGTTTGAATAGATATTAATACATCTTCCTGAGCTTGTTGGTTTTACATACCAATTCGTTGATACAGTTCCGTCTTCATTTCTTATGACTTTTACATCTAAGAATAGTAATGTTCTGCTGTCTTCTACTTCAATAGTAAACTGGATTTTTTCATTTATCATATTAAAGGTTTTTAAAACTACTTCAATTCCATCTTTAGGTATTGCAGTAAAGATATCATCTACATATACTTTTAAGAATAAACTGTAAAGTGTAAGTTGCCTTCAATTTTTTTAACACGTGATTCTTTACCAAATTCGCCAATATTCGGCTTGCTGGATTGCCCATACTAGAACCATCHAGTTGTTGGTAAAAAGATCCATTGAATTGGAAGTAGCTTGAATCAAAACCAAATTGTATTATTTCTAATAAGATGTTTTTTGGTATCGTTATGAAGTTTTTGAGTTTATTCCAATCTTCATTTATCGTTTTTATTACCAGTTTTTTCGGGATTTTCGTGAACATTGAGATTGCATCTAAAGATACTAATCTATAATCTTCTGGTAGTGTTATTTTTTGTATAAATTCTACAAACTGAAAAGAATTCTTAACCGAAATCACGAATTTGTTTGTCATAGCTGAGGATAATTTATGATGTAAAAATTGTGCCAATTTATAGCACGGTGAACGAAGGCAACTTACAACTTGTCTTAAGGCTAGGCCTTGTTTATGTGTTTTCCTTAGTCAATATATTTCTTAGGCGACTGAATTGTGAGATGTCATGTTCTTTTCTATCTCTTCCGTGATAATCGATTCTTTTCTTAGTTTCATTATTAAATTATTGGCTAATTTCTCGGATCTACTGGTAGGGTCTTAATTTAATAACTGATATATGTCTTTGTTTTGTAACATTTTATGCATTTCATTTAAATATTCTTCTTTCTTCATAATAACTGTGCAATTCTGTTTGTCCGATCTCATTATAATTACATTCAAATTGTCTTTTAGAAAACGTTTTGTTGATACAAAGTTTTTTGTTACTTCATCCTTCCATGGTCTTTGGTTATTTTTATAATAATTCGAAATTATATTAACAGCTTTAACTCTTATATAGTTTTGCTCATCTTTTATACTCGTATTATCATTTTTCGTGCTATTAATATGTCTTATGCCTTCCTCTAAATCTTTTATTAACGAACAAACTGGAGCTTTATTCGGTCTTAACGGGATTCCGTACCCTGGTTCTAGACTTAATGTTTTTTCCACTTCGCGGTGTAGCTGAACATCTGTAAAATTATAAATACAATTACTTTGACTATTTATTTTGTTGTTGGTATGTGAAATGTCATTAATTAAGGTTTTTAATTTTTTGATATTATTCTTTTTAATAATATTAAATTTGTTTTCATAATTTTTATTGAAAGATGTTGTGCAATTGTTAAAATCTGTCACTGATATTTTATTCTTTAAAACATTCTGTGTTTTGTTGATGCTTTTTCGATTGTCTTAACTTTCCAAGCTGTAATTTTTATTTCTAATTTAAGGATTTTATGTTTTAGAGACTTTATTAATTTATCTGTCTCTGTTTTGTGAGGATGTGTTTCAGCTTGAATAGCGTACATACATTTTAAGTTGTTTATATATGTTTAGGATATTCTTGTTTATGTTTACATTGTATTAAGAATATTAATCTGTTTTTATTTGCTGCTAATTTTTTAAGGTCATTAATCCAATTTTTTGCATGTCTYATTGTTGTTATATCGTAATTTGTTACCAAATAGTCAAAATAGCCCTTTGGCATTCTTATTTATTTAGTATTTTTTCTCGTCGAAAATTATAATTTTTAATAATAAAATTTTATAGGAAACTTGGACATGAAAAGAAGTAGAACTTAAATTCATTTGAGTTGGACGTTTCGTCCCTTTAATGGGACTTCTTCAGCAACTGGAAAATTTATTTTCTTATTTCTCTTTACGATACATTCGTTTTATACAATAAAATTTTTTACATTACCTCAATCATTAAAGCTCAGCGTCTTTTTTATTTAATTTCCACATGCTTTTTTTTTATAATATTCTAAAACACAATACATCTAAACTTCGTTAGAGCGATAGTTATTATCTAAAAGCCTCAACAAAACTTTTTCATTCTAGACTAGTGTTTGGTAGCCTAGATAACATCAGTGTAAGGTGTCCTTTATTATTTATTATGTTTAAAATTTAAATATTCTGTTGTAGATGTGGTTTAGGTTGTTTGTGTCTGTTTCATAGTTTACTGCATTATTATTACATATGTGATATGTTTCGCTAATAATTCTTTTGTACCAGTTTTCCTTTAAATCTCGGATAGTTGCTGCGTCAAATTTAAAATTGTGTTTTCTGTTTTAAAATAGTGTTAAGCTAACGCTGTAATATTGATTTTTTTCATATTTACAGGTTATATCTATTACAAGTTCTTCCGTGCCACATGCTCTTACTTTTACTTTACCTATTTAATTCTTCTAACAGAGAGGCCTATACAGCTAATTGCTGTCCCTCATATACTAATCTTACATGGACTAGAGCAGGGAGACTTACATGTGTGTTTCTCTCACACGAACAGTAGCACACCAACACATGCTCTTGCGTTACAGCACATACATTTAACCTTGCAATAGACAATGTACACATCTCAACAATTACCACTTTTTTTAATTACTTTACGTGAAGAATTCAATTCTTTTTCAACGAAACTCGATTTTAATAAACCTGACATCCATTCTTTTTAGTTACTAGTAGCCCATTTTTTCTGTCGCTAACAATTTTTCATTATATTTAAAAATTAATTTTTGCTACTTTCTGAATTAAATCGTAGTTAAAAACCATAGAATTTCTAAAAAAGTGCTATATAACAAAAGCTATAAAACGTTTCGTTTCAAGTTTTAAAGCGTATACGAACAAATGAAAAGAGTCCGGTCCAATAAAATCTAGCAAATAACATTTATATTTTAACAACTGCAGTCCAAAAAAAAAAAAATCATTTTATTACAATTTTTTTTTTACTTAACGTAAAGAATTTAATTTTTTTCAACGAAACACGATTGTAGTAATCCTGACGTCGATTCAGTTTTGATTCTAGTAGCACATATTTGGCGTTGGTAAAAATGTTTTAATATATTTAAAACGAAATTATTGCTACTTTCTGGATTAAATAATAGTTAAAACTACCACATATTTAAAGAAATGCTATATAACAAATGTTTTAAAACGTTTTCTTTTTAGTTTGAAAGCGTATACTAACAAATGAAAAGTGTTCGTTTCAATAAAATCTTGCAAATAACATTAATATTTTAACAACTGCAGTCCAAAAAAAGGGAAAAAATAATTATATTTTTACTTTTTTTGGTTACATTACGTGAAGAATTCAATTTTTTTTCAACGAAACTCGATTGTAGTAAGCCTGACGACCATTCTGTTTTGTTTTTAGTAGCACATTTTTAACGTTGCTAAAAGTGTTTAATATATTTAAGCAAAACTTTTGCTGCTTTCTAGATTAAATATTTGTAAAAAC